ATAAACCAATAGCTTTTTGTTCAACCAACGCTCACAAAAAAATAACTTAATGAATCGAGCTGAAACTTTGTACGATATCTAGTTAGTAGTATTGCTTGCCAAAAACATCATAATTTAACGTGATGAGTGCCATCTCTTGGATTTTATAAAGACTTATTGACTCCCCCTCGTACAACCCTGGAAAACCCAGAAGATTCGAAAATCAATATAATTCAATAATAAAAAAAAATGAGACAAGAACATCACGAAGTAACAGAACTGTAAGAAGTTAAAACAGAATTATTGAACTTCCAACAGTCAAAACCAATCTCTCTCCAATTTCAAGTATAACACCAATCCTCCCAAGACCGTAATTTTTTGTAAAAAATACAAAATCAATCAAGCCGCACGACATATTGTCGCTTTAACCTAGATTAGACAAAACTTAGGGCCATTGTTTTTTCAGTTGTCTCTCTCATGCTTTAAGAAATAACAATCACTTAAGTAAGGAGGGAAGCGATACAATCATTATTTTTGTTTTTATTTATTCTGGCAATTAATCTTAAATACAAGCAAACATTATAAATTTCGTATTTTATTCCTAATGTTGAGATCAAAAGTGTTAATATACATAATGTAAACATATTATTACTAAAACTTGTTAAATTTTCATCAACAGAAAAAAGTGTATTATTATCAACATTTAGCAAACCTGGTTTGCTAACAATTACTGAAACTTGCAAAATTTTGAAAATTCAAATTTGTAAAATGCAAAAAACGCACTCGCGATCGATGTACACCAATTTACTTTTATTGCAATCCGAAGATAGCAATAAACTTAGCCCTCAACATTTTACATCTTAAGAAGTTAAATTTTATTTGAAAATTAACTTTGAAATGAGTCGAAGTAAATCACGAATAGGTTACAACAAAATACAGCGTAAGCACTTAATGCGAAATATGATGTTCCACGCAATTTTAAAAAGCATAACGATACTTCTATTTGCCACGCTTAGGTTTAACATATCTCTTATTTCTACTTTTGTACATTGAACATTTGACTATTTAGAATAAATCCGCGGCTTGTTCACTAGTGAAATTGTGCTGTGTTTCATTTGATTAACCTACCTCGATACTCTTATTCTCATCATAAACGACAAATACGTCAAGCAACAATAGCTCGAGGTTGCCAAAATTTCTACAACTATGAAAAAATCAATTTAACAACAAGGTACTGTTAACTATATCCTTTTACCTAACAACCTTATTAGATTTTTATTCAAGCTTAATCCATTAACAACATATTGGAACGTCCCATTCATTAACTATTCCTAGTTGGTGGTCAAGATGTAAAATACAATGGTAACGTGTATGCTTCCATCCCGCTACTATTTTGAAACAATATTATTCAAGTCTTAAATTTGTATTAACCCATTAACGTCAAATGTGCACGTTTACTCATGTCCACTTTCAACGCTGTATAGATGAATCAAGATGAGCAAAAATGATCATGCAAACCATGATTTCTGATAGATTTTTCAATGAACTTTTAGAATATGGGGTGAAAATTCTGAAAAAAGCTTTTTTGAGCCTCATTTTTGCAATTGTAGGAAAAAAAATGTGAAAATTTTCAGATTTTTTTTGAAAAACCAAAATTTTGACAGAGAATCCTTTGAACTAGATGTCTAAAATCTCCAGAAATCGTGCACAAACTATTTTTTCTTTAAAATCGTATCTCTAAGAACATCAAAAATCAACTTCGCAAATCCAAAATGGTGTCCGAAAGTCAGAAAATATAAGAAATTATTAACTAATTTTTTACTCAAAAATAAATTACTTTATGAAAAAGTTTCACTGAACAAAAAGTGTTTAGAATCATTTATAGAATACGTGTAAATTTTTTCAGGACGTTCTGGAAAATGTTCTAATTTTTCCGGAAAATGGCCAGAATCAAAAAATCGAAAGTGGCCCAAAACATCTTGGAAAAATTCACACGTATTCTTCGAATGATTTTAAGCACTTTTTATCGTATGAAACTTTTTCGTGAAGCCAATCATTTTCAAATAAAAAAATAGCAAAGTTTTACTCTTGTTGAAACAACTAAAAATGTAGGCTATAAGCAAGGTACCTATGTTATCAGTCTTTTTAGACAAATATATTTTTGCATACCTACAAAGGCCACATAAAAAGTGACATAGCATGCCTATTACATAAAAATGGTGAAATATAAATTTGCTTCTATCATAAACCAATGAGTGCGGATCCAAGAGCTCGTCACTTTTCCTGTAGTTTATGACTCCAAACCGCCCGATAGTTTGTCCTTACTCCTGCATCAACTCATATTTCGGATATAGTGAATTCTCTCACTTTTTCTTTCTTTTACACGGGATTCTTGAACAGTTTTTGCACACGTATAAATTGCATTTTTTACGTAATCATCTTGTTCTCGTTGCGCAATTTTCGATTTGACAAGAATGTTGAGTATCTGCGGATTGAATTTCATGTTTTCCAATAACAGTGTAAGAACCTTTACTCAAATAATTTTCACTGATGCTCAAAACAAATTCTTTCGTTCCTTTTTTCTTTTCTGTGTTTGGAAGTGCTTCATTATATAAAACAGTGGTATTTGTAACAGCAGCTTGAAGCAATCTTATCATGATTATCCATGTCCATTTCTTCGAATATATGCTTGGCCAACACTTGATTTGCATGTTGATCATGCAAATCAACACCTCCCATGAACTTGTTGTAAATGCAAAAAACATTTGGAAATAGTATTGCTATTTTACTTCTCGATTCTTTATCATAACGGCTCACATTAGACATTAGAGTGACTCCTGAAACCGTCGAAAGGATAGATACAGGCTTGGAATCCATTACAGTAATGAAATTTATCCCACTCAAGTTATCGTGTTTTGCTAACCAGGTGCCCCATTTTGCTTTCTTATTGATATCATTTGTCGCTTTTATGCTATTACTTCTTACTGTACCAGTGGCTCGAAGAACAATTTTTTTCAAATGAAGTAATAGATCTGGACAGCAAAATAAATTGTCAAAATAACAATGGTATTCATTTTGTTTCCTTGAAGTGCAGTGGTGTAATAGGTGCTGTAACATTTGTAAAACGACACGTGAACCAAGAGCAATATTTGGTAGTAAATTATCCTTTGCATTCTTTCCACAATAAATCTCGAAGTGAAATAAAAAACCACTGTAGGAACATAAAGCCCATAATTTGATACCGAATCGTATCGGTTTCCCTTTGATGAACTGTTTGAGAACGCATCTACCTTAGTATTTAGCCATCATTTCATCTATGGACACTGCAGTCGAGAAAAATTGAATCTTTTGATGTTTTTATTGAAAATACCAACTATTTTCCGAATTCTCCAGATCCTATCCTCCTTATCTTCGTCTTCTGGCTTAGAATACTTCAAGTTAGATTTTCTTTCCTCAAACTCAGTTCTTCCCATTGCAAATACAACCGGATCAGGGCGTAAGAGAGGATTAGTAGACCAATAGTCTCTTTGAGAATGCCTCGTATTATAAGAAGAAAATAACGAAATACCTAGAAACACATCAAATCGATCGCGAGTAAGTTGATAACCATTAGATTCGGTACATTCTATGATGAATTTCTTCAAATCATCAGAAAAGAAATACTCAAATAGTTCAGTTGGCGTGCTAGATAAAATAATTTTTTTATCCTTCTCAGATAATAAGTTTTTACTAGTTACATCGTCTGGATACTGCTTTTCTCCATCAACCCAATTGTAATGGTGATTGTCTTCCAATTGTTTTTGGGACGAATTTTTGCATAAGTTCTTAAACAACGAAGTACCGTGAGTGGTATTCACGGCCGAAACGGGTTGATTTATAAATGACATAAATTGTAACGGGGTTGCTTACCATTTAATTATTTTTATTACGGTGATCGCGTAAACGCGCTCGCTAACACCTATGTCAAATAAGAAAGTCGGAGAGCAAGAGGAAACGGTTGTCAGTCAACCAATAAACCTACGAATCTACAAGGAGTGGAGTCATTACGGAATAAACACGCTGAGAGCACTTGTTAATATCACGAACAGAACCTGTTATTGTCTATCAGATGCTACATTAGATCGGCCCGCGTGTTTATGTTTACATCGGCGCTCGCTCGACAACAACATGCAGTGTCGGGACGCTCGCTGCTCTTTATTCGTAGAGATATTACATGCACGTTTCGGACGGATGATTAACCGAGCAGCAATCGTATCGCGACCGTGAAATTAAGCTGGCCAGCTTACCTTTATATTGCAGACGTACGAAGTGGACGATAACGAGTCGCACTGCGAGAAAACGATCTGTTACAGTTTTTGTCGCGGATCACGAACTCGCCCGCACGTGGTTTCGCCCTCGATGGCGAAACCTCTCACACACTTCCAAAGTCACAGGACACAGCGCTTTTCCGCCGGCTCCAGTGTGTACTCGTGGCAGCTGCACGGCACCTCGGCAACAGCGGCCACTCGGAATCAGCCTGGTACGGACGTTCTGCTCTTGGAATTCGCCCCTGCGGTTCTTGTAGCGGTAGTTAGCGTTAAGATTGCGGGCGAGCGTAATGATGGTCAAACCCTCACTGGTTCATTTTCAATCGCGCGCGTTCCGTCTGCTCGCGCGCCGAATTCCTTCGTTTCATTTTTCGTCTCCCCGGTAGGTGCTGCCCCCGCAGGCAGCAATTAGGTTAGATTATTAGCGCTAATTCGACGTTTACCGTCACAAAATATAAACTGATTATTATACTCCAAACTATTATACTATAGCTATTACTACATTAATTTATTATGATAGGTCTCGATAGAATCAGGAAATAATAATATTAATGTATAAGAGTGTTCCTTTCGATAGAGCTTTGAAAGTCTAAAAATAATACTTAAAATTTTAGCTCTTGAATAAAAGTGATATTGAATACCTAGCTTAATATTTATATAAACAAATACATATTTCCTACATATAAGCAACATAACATGAATATTTTGACTTACTTCAGTATCATTTTTTAATACTCTACATAAGCATTGAGTCTCTGCAAGGATTCTCGCGCCGTCTTTGCGAGAAAGTTGTTCTGCTCCGAGGATTACCATAGGCTTTTTAGCATTCATCAAAATTTCAAAAAATGGATGTGATCCAACTTGCAATTGTGAGATTATATCAGGAGTTTGTCCTAAATACTGGAAAGAAAGAGATCAATATTTTTAAATTATAATAATTGAAAACATTATTGATTGATAACTATAAAATCAATTTCAAGTACGCAATTCCAATCAGGTAACATGGTCTATATATGGTAACATATTATATATTTTAAATTCTTTGTAGTTTATTAGGTATAACTTTTGTAAAATTTAAAGCCTTTCACTAACTACAAATAAATAACGTAATAATATAAAAAACACATTCAAATAAATAATTATTTTCACTTCATACTTGTAAAAAAAAACATAAGTTTTAACGGGAGTTGAGCCTAGTTTACTCCGTTTAAATAAACATTTATATTTCATATGGCGACTCCGCAATGTGTCTATGCCGTCTGCTGGATTGCGGGAAAAGCGACTCAAATAGTGGTTACCGTAGTGATGTAGAGTAATCAAATCAAAACCATATGATCAATTATACTACACGGTATGTCTAATTAAAATTAAATAAAAAATGATTGTACCTTAAATTTTATTGCTGATCCTGTATCTTGGACCTGTATGGACATATCTTATTGTCTTATGTCTTATTGTCGAGATTTTAAATGTGACGCTTTCTTTTAATAACTCTATATCGATTTTTTAAAAATTCAGTAATTTTTCATCATTTTAAATCATTTTAAAAGTACGTAATCATGCAGGATCTTAAATGAAACTAGCTGAACTCACTACAGTGATATGTTTGTCAGACGCTTTAGAGAAAATTATAAGGAATGACAGCTGCAATTGGTTCAGAGAGTAATGGCTTGATAAAAATTGAAAAAGATTTTTTTTTTAAATTAAGGAAAAAATCCATTTATTTGATGAATTTTTTTAAGTACACAATCTAATTTTGTGAAAGAAAAGCAGAATGTCAAAACTGATTCAGCAGGGAAAGCCGTGATTTGCAAAAACTTATAAGGTTTAATAGATATTGTGATCAAACGACGTGGTTCTAATGAAGTACACATAAAATTTGGTATTGATGGAGGCTGTGAATATTTAAAATTTTGCATGTCTCTCGTATTAATAAATGTGTCAAGCGTTCAAGATGTACAAGAATTCAAGAAGAAAAAAGCTATAATAAAAACTTTTCTGAGAATGGTGTTAAAAAACTCTAATATTTGTATAGCTCCTGATGTTCAAGAGAATTACATCAATACGAGATGGTACTACATTTGCAGCTGACTTGAAAATTGTTAATATGGTCTGTGGCTTAATGTTAAGTGCATCCACTTATTCATGCCCCTATTGCAACGCATGTTCAACTACTTTGCTTAATGTCGGCGATTCAAAAACCGTAATTTAGTGTGAAAAAAATTACAAAGAATGGTTGTCATCTAAAAACTGTTCAAGAAAAAATGCTAAAAACGTCAAAAGCTTTGTGAATTCGCCACTGCTGCCATTTGTAAATACGAAAATTCTATGTTTCGTACCACCTCCTCAATTACATCTTTTATTAGGAACAGTGAATATAATTTTTAACAAAATATCAGCAGAATTAGAAAGTGTTGCTTTAGCATGGGTTAATAGATGTAATGTATCTAGAGCTTGTACTGCTTGTACTTATGGAAACTATGCTTTTGTGGGAAATGACTGTTATGACCTATTAAATTCAATTAATATTTTAGATTCAATCAAGTGCTTAGGCGTCTATAAATATGTTGAAGTATTGAGAAATTAAAAAAGTTGTTAATAGGTGCTTTTCTTTTAAATTAGATCTCAAATTTAAAGAAATTCTAGAAAGTTTCTAGTCAAGGTTTTTAGAATTAGAAATATCAATAACGCCAAAGATTCACATTATTTTTGAAAAAATATTAAAGAATTTTGCGAATGAAGTCAGCAAGGTATATTTATATTATTATTGCCATTGATATTATTATTTTATTTTTATTATCTCGTGACTATCACTATTATTATTTTAGGTCTTGGATACTATTCTAAACAGGCAATAGAAGCTGTTCATTACAATTTCAAGGCAACTTTTAATAATTATAAAGTATCCAAAAATAATGCTAATTACTTCGATAAATTTTTGAGAGTGTAACGGTCCTATCTATGAGCTAGTTTATTATGTCTGTAGTTGAGATCTTAATTTTCTTATACAAAAGTAGTTGAATGATAAATTTTGTAATGATGGAAAGAAGGGAAATAGTGATAGATGGAAAATCACTTAATTTTAATTATATTCAGCAACGTTTCGTCAGCACATTTGCTGACCTCTTCAGGTTTTATTAATAGATAACCAACAAATTATTAACAATAGAGTTTGTACAAGTAATTTTAATGGTATATAATTATATGAATATGTGTATACCTGATTTCTCTCGTAGTCAAAGTAGTTTTTGACAAATTCCTCTCGAAGAAGAAAGTAAAAAATATACAGCATTTATTATCGAAGGTAATACCTACGAATTTAATGTAGTGCCTTTCGGTACATGTACTAGTACAGCAGCATTAGTAAGAGCTTTAAATTTGTCAATTGACGATTTAAAACAATTTATTATATCGTTTGTGGAAGATATACTATGCATTTCTCAAACATTCAATGAACATATACGAGGTGTGTTCAAAAAATAACGAGAATTTTCGTTTTATGAAAAAAATATTTATTTATTCATCTACATTAATGTTGTCGCCTTCAAAGTAGTCCCCTTCGGATACAATACACTTATGCCAACGCTTTTTCCAATCCTCGAAACACTTTTGAAACTCGATCTTTGTAATAGCTTTTAGCTCTTTCAGCGATTCGCTTTTAATGTCATCTATGCTTGTAAAACGACGGCCTTTTAATGTTCTCTTTATTTTTGGAAATAGAAAAAAGTCACATGGAGCCATATCTGGCGAATATGGAGGCTGAGGCATCGTTACAGTTTCGTTTTTGGCCAAAAATTCACGAACAAGCAATGAAGTGTGAGCAGGCGCATTATCGTGGTGCAAAAGCCATGAATTGTTTTGCCACAAATCCGGGCGTTTTTTTCGGATTGCTTCACGCAAACGACGTTGAACTTGTAGGTAGTACTGCTTATTGATTGTTTGACCTTGTGGCAAGAATTCATAATGCACTATGCCATTAAAATCGAAGAACACAGTGAGCATAACCTTCACATTCGACCGCACTTGTCGAGCCTTTTTCGGTCTTGGCGATCCAGAATGCCTCCACTGGGACGATTGAGCCTTAGTTTCGACATCATATCCGTAAACCCATGTTTCGTCACCTGTTATAACACGTTTTAGTAGTTCTGTATCGTTATTGACTTCATTTAGCGACTCCTGAGCAACTTCCATTCGCCGCTGTTTTTGTTCGAAATTCAACAATTTTGGAACGAATTTTGCTGCCACACGTTTCATACCCAAAACATTCGAAAAAATTTGATGGCATGAGCCAACTGATATGCCAACATCATCAGCGACTTCTCTGATTGTGATTCGGCGATCGTTCATAACCATTTCTTTCACTTTTTTCACGTTTTCATCGGTTGTTGATGTGCTTGGGCGTCCGGGTCGTTCGTCATCTTCAACGTTTTCATGGCCATCTTGGAAACGCTTATACCACTCATAAATCCTTGCTTTACTCATAGCAGACTCACTATATGCCTTTGTTAACATTTGACAAACTTTACTACACTTTATTTCATTTTTTACGCAAAATTTAATACAAATTCTTTGATCCATTTTTTTTCACAAACGAAAATCGCCGAGCTCGAAAAACACGTCTAACGTTAGCGGCTGCCACTTAAAAAGTAAGCAATGAATATTGCTGAAAATTTTATCGTACTTCAGGGGCATGTGTACCAACATAATAAAAAAAAATTTTATACAAGCGGACTCTCCAAACCCGCGAAATTTAAAAATTCTCGTTACTTTTTGAACACACCTCGTACATCATTTACGAACATTATTTACATGTTGTCATAGAGATAATTATACATTGAAATTTTCAAAGTCTAAATTAGTTCAAGAAGAAATTGAATTTTTAGGACATATTATTACTCCATACGGTATAAAAACTCAAAAAAGTAAATTAGAAATAATTCAAAATTGTAAAGCTCCAAAAAATTCGTAAAGTTTGCAAAGCTTTCTTGGATTTGTTAATTTTTATATAAAATTTGCAAAAAATTATGCTGAAATATGTAGACCTTTAATGAATTTATTGCAACAAAGCAAAGGCTATCAATGGTTACCTGAGCATGAAACAGCTTTTAATAATGTGAAAAAAATATTTATAGATACTATTACTTTAAAATTTCCTGATCCCAATAAACCTTACATATTAACTACTGATGCTAGTTATCATACTATAGCCGGTGCTTTGTCACAATTAAATAATGAAGGTGATGAAGAAGTTATAACACTTATATCTAGAACTCTAAAAGGAACAGAATTAAATTATTTTACAACTGAAAAAGAACTTTTAGCTGTAGCTTGGTCATGTTTGAAATTAGAAACGTATCTAAGAGGTGCGAAAGAAATAATTATACGTATAGATCAAGCGTTGAAATTCTTAACTACTTGTAAATTTTCGAATGCGAGATTAGTGAGGTGGTGCTTGTTACTTAAAGACTACAACATTACGTACGAGTATTTACCAGGTAATACGAATAAAGCCGCTGATTTTCTATCAAGACATATAACGGACTGCAGCAATGACTACACCGATGAAATTCAAATAGCTATGTTGATGAAAAATCCTTCTCGAGATTTGATGAAACATTTCAAGAATCTGGATTTATTACAACAAAAAGATAAGTATATACAAATCTAAGAAATAAAGAAAATTTTGATCATAGATACATAGTTAACAATAATTTAGTATATAAAAAAGATAAAGTTAACAACAAATTATTATTGCCGGAAATAATAATTCCGGAATTGATCCAAGAAATACATGAAACCTACGAGGGTGGTCCGATAAGTACTTAGCCTCACCGCCCGATGGCGCCACTCTCGCAAAAGAAATATTCTATCACGTAGTACAACGTTCTCGATGGTTAATG